GTTTATTATCCCCGTTTTGAATCTCCCTTTTCTTGCTTTGTGTGCTACATGGAGCGTGGCAACTTGAACTGCTGCACATCTGTCATTTGGTTATGTGTCGTTCACTGACTGATTGGTTTTAATGTAGAACTTTGCACAGATGTGCAGCAGTTCGAGTTGCCACGCTCCATGTAGCACAAAGCAAAAGAAGAGATAAACAGAAATATGAGGGAAAAAGAATAGTAACATATGAAAACAATAGGGTTTTGTTGGAAATGGTAGATCACAGAGAGTGAGTGCATCTGTGCCATTGAGAACAATTTTGAGCCACGTCACCTAATGTCTCCAGCCATTCGCTTTTACCATTCTGAGGACTGCAATCAGCTAGGCAGTCTACACCTCCCTACTTGGCTTAAACTAACTATTTTGGATTTCATTGACTGATGTCATATATCTGTTTGACCACCACTAGCTCCTTTCCAACCTGATCCTATGTCGGCCAATATTTCCCGTCGAGGAAGCCGATGGCTAAGCGTGCGTAACACGTGTCCTAACCATCTCAATTGGTGTAACTTCACAACCTCGTCGATTGATTTCCTCTCCTTACCTAGCACTCGACACCTAACCTCACTATTGCTCACATTATTATACCACTTAACACGGGAGATAGAATGCAGACACCTATGATCAAAGACAACCAGCCTTCTCATTTCTTCCACGTTCAATGTCCATGTCTCATAGCCATATAGGAAGACATAGCGAACTGTTGAGCAGTGCACACGCCGTTTGGTCTACAACCAACTGGATATACCAGAGATGGTGTAAGTTGTTGGTAAATGCGAAACGAGTCTTATGTATCCGTGCAGAAATTTCGTCAGCTATCAACTGGCTGATGCAACTCTCTATATAAGTGAAGTGGTCAACACGCTCTACCATTTCACCCCCTATCTTTAAGCTAGGAGTCAATGTAACCGAGTCCCGTAGCAACATCTTACATTTGACGGGAGCAAATCAGACTTCTGCGCCTTCAATGATTTGGTGATTGGTGGCAGTGTGTTCAAACACAGGGATATACACAAGGCAACATGGATTTCACCAGATGGACACACCAAAAACCAGATAGACTTCATTTCAATCTCAAGGAAGTGGAGACGGATCCTACTGGACACAAGATCGAGGAGAGGAGCAGATGTGGGTTCAGACCACTATCTAGTACAAGGGACTTTCAAGGTGAAGCTGAAAGCCTCGAGGATACCTGGGGATAGGCCACAATGCAAGTTCAACACTCACAAACTGAAGGACACAATCACACAGGACATTTTCACTGCAACTGTCAGAGCAAAGCAGGAAACACTACGTGGCACCACTGAGGGTAATTTTCAACGAAACGTGCTCAACGGTTTTAGGAAGAAAGAAGAAACAAGACAAGGAATGGCTCTCAACAGACACTTGGAAACTAATAGAGGAGAGGAGAAAAGTGAAAGAAAAAATGATTCAATGCAAAGATGGACAAGAGAAAGAGACGCTGAGCTCAACTTACACAGCACTGGACAAAGAAGTGAAGAAGAGTGCCAGGAAGGACAAAAGACAATTCTACGACAACCTGGCTACTGAAGCTGAGAAGACAGCAGGCAAAAGGGACCTGAGGACACTATATCAGATAACCAAGTCTCTATCCGGGAAGAGATCAACACAAGTGAAACCTATAAAAGACAGCCAAGGGAACCCAATTACCAAAGAAGAAAGACAGATTAAACAATGGGCGGACCACTTCAAAGGACTCTTGAACCGACCACCACCTACAACCCGTCCAGAAATACCAACAACAGCACGTACACAACTGCAAGTTGACACCAATCCTCCAACGAAAACTGAAGTCATGAATGCAATCAAGCCTCTGAAAGCTGGAAAAGCAGCTGGACCAGATGGAATACCCCCGGAAGCACTGAAAGCGGACCCAGAAACGACGGCAGATATGCTGACTCCATTATTGCAAAAGATCTGGAAAGAGGGAAAGGTGCCTACTGACTGGAGGAAAGGTTACCTGGTGAAACTACCAAAGAAGGGCGACCTGGGACTCTGCAAGAACTGGCGAGGAATCATGCTCCTGTCGACGCCAAGTAAAATCCTGAGTCGCATCATCCTGGAGAGAATCAAGGACGCGCTGGATACAGAACTCCGACCAGAACAAGCTGGATTCAGGAAAGGCAAATCATGTTCTGACCAAATTGCAACTCTACGCATTATCATCGAACAAAGCATGGAATGGTAATCAAATCTCTACCTCAACTTCATAGACTTTGAGAAGGCCTTCGACAGCGTTGACCGCGAAGTTATTTGGAAACTACTCGAGTACTACGGAATACTCCAAATATGCATCAACCTTATTAAACAGCTGTACGACAACGGCACATGTCAAGTGATCCACAACGGAAAACTCAGCGAAGCGTTTGGAGTAAACACAGGAGTCAGACAAGGGTGCTTATTATCACCAATGATATTCCTAATTGTGGTGGACTGAATTATGCGTCAGACAGTGGGAAACGAGAAGACAGGGATATCCTGGACCGACGTGAAGAACCTAGAAGACCTGGATTTTGCGGATGATTTATGTTTGATGTCACACAAAATCGAAGACTTACAAGCAAAAACCGACAAACTGGTCGAAGAAGCAGCAAAGACAAGACTCCAGGTGAACATAGACAAGACGGAGGTTATGAAAATAACCAACCAACAACAGCAGCAGCAACATCCAACGCCAATCACCATCAACGGAAGGGATTTGAAAGAGGTTACTTCATTTACTTATCTAGGGGGCATTGTCTCAACTACAGGAGGAACGGACGAGGATGTCAAATCGAGAATCGGGAAGGCGAGAAACACATTCATCAACCTGAAACCAATCTGGAAATCTTCGTCACTCACCATCAACAACAAAATTCGGATTTTCAATACAAACGTCAAGTCAATTTTGCTTTACGGATCAGAAACTTGGCGGGTCACCAAGAATATTTTCAACAGGTTGCAGACCTTTATCAACAACTGTCTTCGCTCCATACTGAAGATTAGATGGCCGGAAAGAATCACAAACAAGAAGCTATGGGAACAAACGAAACAGGAACCAATCGCCCAACAAATATGCAGGAGGAAGTGGAGATGGATTGGACACTCGCTGAGGAGGCCGTTGAGTGACACCGCGCGTCAAGCCCTCGAGTGGAACCCGAAAGGGAAGCGGCGAGTGGGACGTCCAAGGGTGACATGGAGGAGATCGTGTGAGGAGGAGATGAAACAGTATGGAATAACATGGACGCAAGTGAAAAGAACAGCAGAAGACAGAAGCAAGTGGAGACGTGCAGTTGAAGCCCTATGTTCCACTAGGAACCCAAGGGAACAATAATAATAATAAAATCACATGCCAAACATTCGAGGACTGTTGCTCCTCAGAGTGTTCAGAAGACTGCATTTGTCAGTGTCTTCACCTAGGAACAGGACTATATCATGCACATATTCCGAATCAACGAGATTACTCCCTGGTAACGAGTCAATCTCCGAGTTGTTGAAGTCATATATGCCGTTTGTGAGGATTACTATGTAGCACGATTTGCGATTAGTCGTAAAAGGATTCGATTACTCATCTATGCAATTATTAAGAATACGACATACTAAAACATAACCACTCCCTTTCTTATTATAAAACGAAATAAAAAGTTCTTAGTATTTGCTCTTCACAAGAGCAATGAAAACTTGCGCCCGTTATTTTGTTTTCCGAAGTTCTCCGCCTGCCTCTTGCACATATGAAAAATAAAGTAACCGCCCTATATCCTGCCACTGTCGGTAATATATATCTCATTCAAAACAATCAACAGACCTACCGAAACGATTATAGCATTCATTCAAAAGGCTTTAGCTTTAATCTGCACTGTATGCTGTGGTGGCTGATAATAATCCTTAGATTCCCTTATTTCCTAACTCAAGGTAAGGATAAGGCACTATCATTCATTTAGTACAACTTTTTGCGCGCGTTTTACACTGCGCCTTAACACATAGGAAACGTACAGAATTCACTTATTCTTCCTAAACACATTTGGTTTCTGATATAACGGATTTGGTTTTATCCAATATTTTTCCAAGCATATGCTTATTAATTTTAACCATTGATACAGTTCTGTAAGGAGCAGTTAACAGCAAAACCTAACTGTCAGCGTAATGCTCAGTGCTGTATCTTTAGGTGGGGACATTTTAGTCATCCAATAACCTACCAGTCGAATATGTTAGCTGTTTCTCATAACCTTAAGACTTCCACGTATTATCATTCATTATGTAGTGCATGTAATTTCTTAAGGTAAGTATCCTCGCGAAGTAAAATGTGCTGAGCTCATCAGAAATACAGACTTCACTACTTGATGGTATGATTGGCACTCATAAGTAAACATTTACGAACAAGTAATTTTGCACATAAACACTACGGGAAACTTTAATTCATCATACGAAGTACCTGCAAATAAAATCAAGCTTTCTAAGCATATTTTAAATTGATTGTTTTGAGGATATGAATGAAGACTTCAAAGAATGACTCTGCTCTAACAGCACATAGATATGTAGATTTCGTCACGAACCAACACTAGTTAGAGAATCGTTAAAAACCACTAGGGAGTACTGGGAAGTTGTTTCGTCCTAGCTTAGGACTCTTCAGTAATGCCGCACACGAATCCACCAGGAATCAAACCCAAGATCTTTAGCTTATGACAGCAAGCTCGTTGACTACTAAGAGAGTTCGACCGGGGTTCAGTGAGCTGTAACTTTAACAGTTTTTCATACAGCGCTATCATCAACCAATGCCACTGATGAGCATCCACTTTGATACGGTTGACTCATAAATGTCGCAGATAACTAATATCATGCTTTATATATTCCCTGAGAAATTATTTGACTCCAAGTATTGTACAACTAAATATAAAGTGCTTATTATTGTGTTTATAATGTTTCCTTAGCATACTTAATTGTTCTATTGCTTTTCCTAGATGTCCTCCGAAGACTGTGAAAATGAACTGCTTGCTTTAGAGTCTATTTATGAAGACAGATATCAACTTGTTCAATCTACACCAAAACGAAAAGTTAAAGTATACTTAGATGGACAATCAGATGATTCATTATTAACTAAAATTAAATGTCAAATTCTTTTTGAACTACCAGATAAATATCCAAACAAGCCGCCAAAATATCAATTACTTAAACCAGAAAATATTTCAGATGAGGATATTGCCGATATTAAAAATATAATCGATGGAGTAATTGAACGTTCGCTTGGCTATGTTATGCTTTTTGATATCTTAACAGATGTTCAACAAAAATTGGATAGTATTTGTGAAAAGATACTAATCCGTCAACGTAATGAAGCTAAGGAGAAACGAAAAGCAGCCCTGCTGGAGGAAGAGGCTAAATTTAAAGGAGATCGTGTTACTGTTGAATCATTTTTAGAATGGAACGCCAAATTTCGTGCAGAAATGGAATCCTTAAAAGAGAAAATTATAACAGACGATCAAACAAATAAACGGTTAACTGGACGTGAATTATTTTTGAAGGATAATCACTATGATGATTCAGATCTTACTTTCTTAGAAACGAATGGTGGTGAAGTTGTTGAGATAGATGAACGCCTGTTTATTGATATTAATGATATAGAATTAAGTGATGATGACATTGATGATGGTGGTGTTTCAACGGAAACAACAGCTTAAACGATTGTATCTTGTATGTATGTATAAATAAACTGACTTGCTTACTTACAATTTGTAGTTCTTATATTAATATGAACAAGCGTTTTTAGAAATAAACAAAATATGCATATCCAATACAAACAGCAATATGTGCTGTGCTTCTCAACATCTACAGTTCAGGGAGACGTAAAGTAACAACCGCCCACACATTTTTAAAAGCACACAAACGTTTCCTGATCACCACCTACCTTTATTTACGTCACAGGAATTCAATAATTGGACTCTTCACTGATTAGATTATGAAGAAATACGTATGCTCACGTGGTGTTAAATTTACAAGATACAGGTTACTAAAAAGAAAATTTTTGCTAATCTGTGTATATCCTTCTAATTCATTCTTAAAGGAAGCCTATATCTGGTAAGGATTTAAGCCTTAAATTGCTGACCACCAAACAGGAATTAACTTCTCATCGTACGTAGTTATAGCATCGCACTAAAGCTCTATGCCTAAATATTGACATATTTATAACCACGGAAAAGGAGACTATTTTTTCAGACTTTACAAACTGCCTAATATTGTGTCAGTACTAAAAAAATAGGACGAAAATACATCCCATATATTATTAGCTACATGTGTTCAGGAGTGTGTAATAATTCCGCTGTAAAGGAAACCACTTGTAGAGAAGGCATGTGTGTGACAATACTGGAGAGAGGAAGTCGTATGGTAGGGCGTATCAACTTACTCTTGCAAGCAACTAATAGTGCTGTGAGGGATCCAGATGAATAATGCCGGTGGTCACATCGACCAAGATGTTTGAGTCAAGGGATCTACTACCGTAAGTTGTGATGGGCGGCACGTAGTTGGAGAGATATTGGTGGCAGATGCTCTTCTGTTGTGGATGGAATTACGCCAGATTCTGTCCCAGTATCAACCAGCGTGACAGTCTTTGGCATAGAAGAGGCGACAAAAAAAGTGAACCGACTTGGGGGCACGAGTGATTGTCAAGCATATGAGTGGCGTGGTATTCCACTGTAATGAAAGGCGCTCATAAACTATACACTTTTACCTTAGAAAGGTAATATTTAAACTGTCCCCACCAAAAACCCTTTATGGACTTTATCTGTAGCTCAAAACAGCAGCTTTTTTTCTAAAGTTACTTTTTTATTTTACGTCTTTTGACGTGTTTAGGGATTTTGTGCTTTCTGTTTTCAGCTTGTTCTTGTTTAATTGCTTTCTTCCGATTCCTGCGACTTTCTGGAGATTCATTTCGGGGTCGTGGAGCACCTTTTACTTTAGTCTTCTCATCTTTCTTAGCCTCTGAAGCGGCATCTGAATAAACTGAAGCTTTTTCTGATGATACAGATTCAGCATCTGATTCAGGTTCTTTGTTTTCTGTTACTTGTTCAGTTGATGGTGATGGCTGTGCGGCACCTGTTAAGTCTGATTTCAACCCAGTAATAGCTGCATAATAAATGTCAGATGGTAGTAGTTGTCCACGTTGTAACTTAAGGAAATCCCTTATAAATGGATATGATACTGATAAATTCCTTGGAATATGTACAAATCTGAAAGCTTCATCCTCTTTCTCCATAGTTTCATTCATCCCACGAATCGACGCTTCTCGAAGTAAAGATGCTAAACATTCTACAGACGAAGGATCATCAGGTGAAGGCAGCGTGGGATTCACAACCCATTCGAATAGTTCCCGCAATGTTAAAGTTGAGACACCTTGCTTTCGAAAGAAGGTATTTATATTATGACAATCGGTTCTTAAATATTCAAGCGCTTGCGGAGATTCGTGTTCCACAGCCTATAGATAGAATAAGGTCAAAAAAAACATCTTACAAAAAGTATGTGATTGAAAGATACTGAAGGTTTACTGATTGAGAAAGCATGTTGCACAAAAAGATAATATCAATACGTAGGCTAAACTGTATACTATCATTACCGAAGGTGTTCTCACACGAGTAACTCAAACTACATGCATCACGTGTACTTAAAACTTCTCAAAGTCTTGTCTTATGCACTAACTTATGATTGTGAAGTGATTTCATTACTTGGTAGGACTATGGTTTCTAGTTTGCGTACTGATGAAGAGTGCCAAACTAGGACGAAACAGCTGTCTAGTACAGACATGGTTTTCCATGTTTCTCTGAATGAAGTAAATTCGTGATCAAACATGAAATCAATCAAATCCCTGCAAATCAACACTTGAAAAACATTAAAGTGCGGCTGTTATCAACAATTTGTTATATTGCACTGAGAATGCCATTAACCGTAAAAGATAAATTCAGTTTATTTTACTGGGTTCTAGTCAACTGCGTACAATCTATGTAATGAAATGAGTAATCACTGTGGCACAATTTTTGACATACTTTAAGGGGGAAAGTTGGTCAACTTTTGAAGAGCAGAATCAAAACAGATACCCTCTTACAATGCATGAACAGGACTACTCTCGCGTCTGAAGGTTGAAGTGGTTATGTAATCGTGAAAAAGAAAGGTTATCTAAACAGAATGCAGTGATATAGACAACTATTCCACTTGTCGTCTGAGTCTTTGATTAGAGTATATCAGAATAATTATTTACCTATTTGGCTATTCAGGTTTTGTGCAGCTGACGAAAACCCTATAAAATGATTGACTGGTTTCAAAATAGGACTTTGTACAGTAGTGCAGCATTTCGAGTTACCACACTCCATGCAGCATACAAAAGAAGATAAAAGAGAACCGAAGGAATGATAATAAGCAGAAATATGAGGGATAAAGAATAGTAACATGTGGAAACAATAGGGTTCTATTGGATATGGTAGACCACAGAGAGTGAGTGCATCTGTGCCACTGAGAACGATTTCTAGTCTTATCGCCTTTTGTCTCCACCTACTAGTTCTTATCACCCGCAGGATCCCAACCAGGAATTTTACACCCTTTTACGTGACTCAAACTAACTGTTAAATGTTTTCACTGACTGATTCCGTGTTTCGGTTTGACCATCACCAGCTCATTTCCAACTTAATCGCATGACAGCTAACATTACCGTAGATGAAGGCGATGGCTAGGAATGCGTAACGCATGTTCTAACCATCTAAAGTGATCTAACTTCACAGCCTCATCGACAGATTTTCCCTCCGAACCTCAATATTACTCACCCTACTATACCACCTGACATATGAGATAGGGAATAATCTCGTCGACTTAGAATATGCAGACGATATAGTCCTTCTAGGCGAGGACGCTGACAAAATGCAGAGTCTACTGAACACCTTGAGCAACAATCTTCGTATGTTTGGCATGCGATTCGCCCCTGTAAAATGTAAGATGATGCTGCACGATTGGACTTCATCGACCCCTAGATTAGAAATAGGAAGTGAAGTGGTAGAGCACGTTGACCGCCTCACTTACTTGGGAAGTACCATCAGCCCCAACGGGTTGATCTCCGACGAAATCTCAGCACGAATACAGAGGGCTAGTTTCGCATATGCCAGTTTTCGCCGTCTCTGGCGTAGACGTGATATCCGACTATCGACCAAAGGACGTGTGTGCTGCTCAGCAGTCCGTTCTGTCCTCCTTTATGGCTGTGAGACCTGGCCATTGAGAGTGGAAGACATGAAAAGCCTGGCTGTCTTTGATCATAGGAGTCTGTCTTCTTTCTGCCGTATGAAGTGGTATAATAAGGTAAGCAATATTGAGGTTAGGCACGGGACGAATGCTAGGTAAGGAGGGGAAATCAGTCGACGAGACTGTGAAATTACATCGACTGAGATAGTTAGGACATGTGCTACGTATGCCTAGTCATCGCCTTCCTCGACGGGCAATGTTAGCTGATATAGGGCCAGGCTGGAAAAGAGCTAGCGGCGGTCAAACGAAAACATGGCTTCACCAGTCAATGAAATCTACAACAGTTAGTCTAAGCCACGTAGGAAGGTGTAGACTCCCTGGTTGGGGTCCTCGGGACGGTGACATGGCTCAAAATCGTTCTCAGTGGCGCAGATGCATCCACTCCTTGTGACTTATGATTTCCAATGAAACTGTTTTGTTCTTCGTTATTACTATTCCTTTGTCTCACACCTCTGTTTACTGTCTATATTATGCATTTCTTCTACTTTCTTCTCTTGCTTTGTGTGCTACATGCTACATTGAACTGCTGCACATATGTGCAAAGTTCTATGTCGGAAACCGACCGACCGAGATTGGACGTAGACATCTATGAACAAAGACAGTTAGCCTTTTCACGTCTTCCACTTTCAATATCCATGTCTCACTCACAGCCATAAAGGAGGACAGAGCAAACTACTGAGTAGTATACGCATCCTCTGATCAATTGCTGGATCTCACTTCTACGTCGGAGATGGCGCAAGTTGACAAATGCCACACAAGCTTTCTGTGACCGTGTTAAGATCTCGTCAGTGATCACCCCGTTGGTCTGATGCAATTTCCCAAGTAAGTGAGGTGGTCAACAAGGTCTACCACTTGACTCCCTATCTTCAGACTAGTCCGCTCCTTCAGCATGATCTTACATTGGGGAACAGCAAGTTGTATGCCAGGTATCTAAAAAAAACAGCTTCCACAGTGTGGATAGCAGGGAAGTAGCATCTTCCAAAAGCACACGAAGCTCTCCTGATCGTCACAACATAAAGTAAAATTAATTCATCTTATTCTCCTAAAGTAGCTCTTATTGATTTACCCATAAATGGACAAAACATTACATGTCAATTTCACATAATGAAAGTGGTGGAATTTAATTTTCGCTTATCATTAAGACTGATATTTATCCAAGTCGGTTGCTTTTAATGTAAAACTAACTTAACCGCAATATTGACAACTGAATTTCACCTAACTTTTATTATCTTCGGTTTGAAACACCATTAGAAGTCATAAACTGTGGTGTTCTCAATATTTGTGCTATTGAAACAAACATAGCTCTCTGTGATTTCAATCCCTGTTTAGTAATTGGCCTAAAAAGCACTTTGTATGGTGTGCAGAAAGGGATTTAGTGAGCCACTTTCTCCAGTAGATTTCAAATATAATTTCACTAGTGTATTCACAACAATAGACAGTGACATACATTTACGCCTGAATTTTACCATTTATAATTAGTACATGGTGAAAAAGTACTCTTTAATACGATAAAACTCACCTGAGATACATCAATCATCCATACTTTTCCGTCAAGATAAAGTAGATTATATTCACTGAGATCTGCGTGAACTAGACGACACTTTTGAAACAGTGTTCTGATATCATTTATAACTTGAGAGTATAAATTCGACCAATTTGGAGTCTGTTTGTCACCTTTTCCTTCTCCCATGTTTTCTTCTTCTTCTTCTTCTAGACAAACATCTTTTAACTTTGGAGCAGGAACACCATCTTTTCCAATAAATGTCATTAACAATACAACACCTTTTAAACGTAACGGTTTCGGTGCATTTATCAAACCAGACTGATTTATTCTTAGCAGATTACGATACTCTTTTTCACTCCATTTACAAACAAGTTTCCATGATGTTGCTTTAGAATATCCATGTCGCATTCTAAAATCACCTTTCACGTATTTATCACGAGATTTAAACGGCATTATCGATGTCATATAGACTTTGATAGCAAGATCAGTATCATCTCCATTCTTCACATGATATATATTAGCTTCTTTGCCTATGTTAAATTTAAGAATTAATAAATAGAAGCTACACATATGAAACAGTATATATCAACAACAATGAAGTAAATGTCAACAACACGCATACCAATACAATGGCAGAATTACCTTGTCAGCAGTGTAGATCTAAGACGTAGAGTACTGGGTGAGGAAGCAGATTCAACCGATTATGTCGTGAAAATACATCGATCGAGATGACTATGACATGCACTGTACATACCGAGTCACTACCTCCTTCAACAGGCAATGTTAACTGTCATACGGTTAGGTTGGAAAACAGTTAAGGGTGGTCAAAACAAATCCTACAATCAATCCATGAAGTCTTTGACAGTTGATTCGATTCAAGTACGTGGGTGTAGACCGCCTTGTTGGCGTCCTCAGAATGCTAAGAACCAGTAACTGCAAACTATTGGTGATATGGTCGAATATTGCTTTCGCTGAGACAGATACACTCACTGCTTGTGATTCCTCATATCTATTAAACCCTTATATTCTTTTATGTTATTTTTCTTTTTCTCATACAATTATGCTTATTATGGTTTATCTGGATGTTTTTCTTTTGTCTACCTTTGCGTGCTACATGCAGTGTGGCAATTCGAACTGCTGCACTTCTGCTCAAAGTTCTATGTTGAAATACAGTCAGTCAGTAAGTCATCAATCGTAAGGAGATTTGAGTAATACAATAAAAGTCATATTTAAAAATTGACAAGTAATTACACCTAACTTCAGTAAACATTGTCACACTTAAATCTATCAATGACAGATGAAAAGCTGTGTTTAAAATAGTGAGCAGCATAAAATAATTAAAGAATGATTGCTGATATTAACATCATTAATTTGATTGCAAACCAAAAGCATTAGAAACACCAACAGACGTGCAACACAAAATAATATCCCAGTGATGTGAAGAGAAAATACAAAGATTAACGAATGACAGGGGGTGACATAAGCAGGGGTTGATATAAAAAGTGACTGAGTTGTTACACTTTGAAATATAACATACAGGAAATAAACAAGTAATTATATCATGACGGAGATACATCAGTATATATATACATATATATATATTATTTATCTCTGCCTACTGTTAGTTCTATACTGACAGTCTTCAAGTGAAACAATATCTTTTATTACATACGATTTAGCTTTAGGTAGAAACAGATTATTTTCACAAGACTGTAATAGGACATCACCATTATCCGTTTGTTTATACGGCACTCCGTAAACACCTGAAATGTGCTTTTCCGATTGGCTTAACTTTCTTACTTGAGTATTAGAATCACCGGCTAACATGAACATATTTTAGTGCTTTGCGTTTCGCAAAATATATGGCGGACATAGATAAAACTCATCCTTTGCTAAACTTGATCTGCAAACAGTAGATGCATGAGCTATGACTAAAGAAAGACATCTACGTATATTATAATTCCTCTTTTATACAGATCCATTTGTTCCGAAAGCATGCAAACCCCTATCTGTTAGAACCAAGTCGAGTGGTGAGTTTTTCTGCTTTAAAACTTAATTCTATTCGTACAGCAGAAAATCCATGAGAACTAACTATACAGTCTCCTGATGCGTATAAGATGAATTTTTCATTATCACGCTGAAAACGTATGATTGAATGTATAACCATATTCAGGCATTTTACCGACCATAGAGAAGAAACAAACACCTATAGCCTAATAATTCATAGTTCTTCTTGTCCGACTTGGGATACAATTCGAAATTTGAAAGTCCTAATGTGACGTTGGTGAAGTGGTGTTTCGCTACCTCAACTCAAAGATCACAAAGTTACGGTAAGCTGAAGGAAGTGTATGAAGAAAAATGGTATCAACAGTGGGAAGAGGCTGTAGAGAATGTAGAATGTAAATGTTGAAAAGTGTATGTGGTAAAACTGCGAATACTACATGCAAATTAAACTTCTTGATTACCTAAAAGTGTCTAAAAAACTACTTTTGCATGGACGCAAAGTCTTCGTGTAAGACCGGTCCACGTAAACTGTTTAGAGATGATGGAATATGTGAACTTTTGTTTATATGAAAAAAGAACTACTTGCTAGAGTCAGCAGTAGAATAAGTTGGGATAGACAGCCTTCGAGATGAACTTTCACCTCTCGACCTCCTTAATGTCAAGCTAGTATACCGGGTTTACTTGAAAGAAGCACCTCGCTGCCCCAAAAACTCTTCCTCTAGCAGTATTGCTTCTCCCTCACTACTGTAAGCCTCAATGAGGTGGCAACTGGCTGTATTTCACTATCTCTGCCAACCTTTTCGGTACTATTGGAACATCAAAAACAATTCATGATAGTAAGGCTCACTGGATTATATTGACACATAAACTCAATAATAATAGAACGGTTGTGTTTTAAATAACGATGGATTGCAAATCGGTTAATATGTGTGATAATCTATGTTACTACCCGCGTTTTAAGGCTGAAGTGGGGGAAGTAAGACTACCGCTCACATCCAAAGGGTTATCAAATAGTTAAATATAACAGAAAGAAAAAGTAAATATTTTCAAAAAGTACATTCAGAAGAACGTTTGCAGAACAATAAAGACAATTACAGAATAAACACTCCCTATCTGGGATTTAAGACATCCGCTGACTTCTGTAGTTACCAAGTTGCATGATTTCACGATCATATCAAGCTGTAGCACATTAGTATATCTTAGATCAACATAACCATACATTCTAGAGAACTATAACATGAAGAAGTCACTGTTTTAAACCAACCCTATAACCAAACAACAGTGAAATATTTGAAAACCACCGAGGTAACATTCAAAATATCTACAAACCACCAAGATGATATAACTTATTGGAAGAGTACAGCTGCTTAATCAAAACACAAACTCTCTAGACCTTGGGATTAATAGGAGAGTATTACCACGACCACGCCGACCATGCTCACGGTCCGGGGTTCGATCCTCGGCCGACGCACTCCTTTACCTCGCTGAGCCAGATATAATGCTGGTAATGAGGAAAGGTTGGGCATAAGGCTAGCAACCCTATCCTGTAAAATAAACACTTCTACAGAAACTTCAAGCCATTAGCTTGAAGCCCTATGTTCCACTGGGGAACGTGAAGGAAAAAAAAATTACCACGAAATCCAAGCAATCCTAATAGTGTGAATGGTTTAATACGCAGGGATACTTAACACTCAGCTAAAAAGCTCACATTTCATAGACATATCAGGCACCCAACTAGTGCACCACCCCCTACGCCATGTTTCTGTAAAGTTTTCCTGGATCCTTTTAAGAATATCATGGGAGTTGAGGTTTTATTTAAGACTTAATGCCCCTTTAGTGAAAACGCGAATTCTGTGACCTGGAAATGAATTCAACCCAAGAATATATTGACGTTTGAATGGAATTATTTAGATTACTTCATCTAAATGTTAACATCCATTCTCATAGTCTATAGAACGCTAAGCTTAACTGTATGAAAGAAATCTTAGTTGACAAATAAATAAACGATAAGTTTTAATAAAGATGTTAAATAACAAAAAAACGATGCTTTGAAATTTAGTTTATCCACCAATATATTATATAATGTTAACATGATCGAAAGTGATATAATTTACTTGAATGATACGGAAACAGAGATTTCAATGCGTGCAGTTTCACTGGTTATGACCACCTGACCTAATCTTTAACTTAGCAATAACTATATGCATGCACAAAAGTTCAGCACCCCAAGCTTACAGCAATTCTAAACTTATTCCAACCTATTCTTTGATAGTGCCTTTTTATGGTAAATGAAGATTTTATCTACGCACTATATTCTGAAATAACGCTGGTCGTGCCTAAAACGAGAGCTGGGTGCTGAATTAAGTCTTTTCGCTCTGCAGTAATGCTAGTCCGTGCTTAACATGTCCTGTGAGGGCTGGAACAACGTTGATAAGCAAACCCAGTAGGTTCTGATCTACTGAAAATGCCTAGAAATAGAACACGGCGCTGAATTAGTGCCAGTCATGCTGAAAACCGACAGAGTTCTAGTCTGTGCCACTTCGAAAAACCTCCAGAATTTACTCACTATGGAATGTTAGAATTATTTCAGAATTAGTGAGATTTACTTCAGCATTATAGTAAGCTTGGGACATCAGCATATTATAACGTACCTGTGCTAATGCAGCCATTTACTTCCGTGAATATGCCCTGATTCATCATCTTGAACAATATGGAACAGGATCGTCTATCAAGAGCATGATCTGTTGTTGCTCTGTCGCTTTTATCCTTCATTTGTCTTTCATTTTTCATTGAGAAGTCCACTTTGTTCTGAAACTTCTGCATATACAACTTAGAAGAATTATTATTTTCATCATCACTTCCGGAAAGATCAAAGTCATCATATATTTCGTCTAGTGATGACAATGAACTCATATTTTCTAGGCGATGAACTAAAGTCATGTGCTGTAACGCATCAATTGAAATTTCCTCTTCAAAATGTAAACGCCATTCATGCTTTTTCTCCAAATTATTAGGAGATGCTTCATTTTTGAAGGATTTACAATTTTACCTCACTATCACGAAATACAGAAGAAATAAAACATAGGTTGAGGAATACTCACTTCGCATGAAAGGAGGGGCTTTATAGAATATCTCTTTTAGTAGTGTCAATGTCCGTTGCTATGATGGCTTAATGACAGGATATATATTTTTATGTGCTTTTTACAAGCAATTTCGCATTAGAAAACTTTTCTGACGTACAATAATATCTGCGGTAAAATCTAATTGAACTACGTTATATTTGATACACTTGTGTCAGGAAATGTCGCTTGACACTGATATCTGCGCAATGTAATGGATTAAGTAAAGTAGCAAGTTCAAAATCGAAAAACATATTTTCATGAAACCATACTAGTGTATGAGGCTCACTTAGTGAAATGGTATTGTCTTAATTGGTTTGGTGGTTGTTGCCATTCTTTGAGAAATTTCAGCACTAATTCCAGTTTCCACTTACTCACCACAATCTGCTTTTCATTTCAAGACACACAGCTTCAGCACTATTAGCTCAATGTGTAGCACTGTTGTGAACTTGTTTTTCAAGTGACCTTTAGTTTAGGGAAAGGTTTAATCGCTACAAAATTCCGATTTAATAAACAAAACTTAGGCTCAGAAGTGAAAAAACGTTATTGTCTTAATTGGAATGAGGAAACGTTGTTCAGAAGGTAGAAGAGACTTCATTTCTCAATTAATTCGTAGAAAGACTATTGCGCATCGAGTTGTACTGCAAATTTACATGAAGCAAAAGATCATGAATACTTCGCTCTTCTCTTCAGTATAAGAAAATTAATAATAATTATTATTAATAATACAGGAATTAATACGCAAGGTTCCTTACTTTAAGTTTATTAAGGGCGAATAGAAGTTTTCCAATTCAATTTTATGGATATAGCTTTCACTTCACTGTACGCTTTGTGACTGTAAATAGTGAGTCAGCCGGTGGTGTGGTAATAAGAAAGACACCTCTAAATATAAACATTTTGGAGACGTCAGCTTTCCTTGGCGACAAGATAATCATTTCATCAAGACACTTACTAAAGTAAACACCACGTTGCTAAGTTATTCACAAAACAGGATTATAAGTAAACTCTTTTTTGGATGCACTTATTCCAAAATATTTGAACAGTAATCACTACGTCTATCAACAAGCCGTTTGCTTTCAGTCGTGCAGTGTTAAATAATTCCCCGAAATTATTGACCACAGCAATCATCACTGAACATTGGATGCTGACCCTCACTGTTTAAGTCGGCTTGTCTAGCTGAAGGCTTCCATTCAAGCATCCATGCCATTTGGTACTCCATCGTGTCACGTTCGTGCACGATCACTAGCCAGCTAAGCAATCAGCTCACACTCGATTTGGACGATCAATTGTGGTCTTTTGCTTTGTCTTTGGTCTACGCGGAACGAATACTACAGAAGTTGCGGGTATTAGATCTTGCGTTAGTACACTCCGTACAATCCGCGAACGTCAATACCATCTGCTTCTAAACTGGTGAGCCCTACCGCGAACTACATCTTTGGTAAATACACAGACAAATCCGGAGAGTTCGTTCCATTTTGTGTTTGTTCTTGTACTATGTTCAAACTATTTATATTTCGTCAATAGTGATCATGGTCCTAAGTCCATTCGTATTCGCCCAACTGCTAAAACCATTCAGCCAAGGCAAGTTCACAAAATAACCCTGACTGGTGCTGGTATCACAGCACCTATGTTGCCGAAAACCTTGTAATTTCGGCAATGTCTGAAAGTATGTGAGAAACTTTCCTGCCGGCACGCGTTAGCGGCAACCGTCGCCGGTGGCATTAACCGCCTAATTTACATTCATGATGAGGTCAGCCAGACCCAATATTTAGTCGACACAGGCACCGAAGTCAGTGTCCTTCCTGCTACAGCAGCAGATCGACAGAAGGAAACTACCTTCAACTTACAGGCTGCAAGTGGAAAACCAATTGCAACCTTTGGTAGGAAATCCGTCCATCTGAACCTGTTCAGTGGATTTTCGTTCTTGCTGACTTCACATTGCCCATCATTGGCACGGACCTACTGAATCGTCATGATTTACTCGTGGACTTCCGCCGAAAACGACCAATAGACAGGACAACTAGACTATCCATCAAAGGCATCACCCACCTAGGCCCCAGTTTGTTACTCGTTAAGATGAAGGAAATCCTTGATCCAATTTTCCAACCTATTGTTGATAAATATCCGGAACTTAATTGCCTGTCCAACGACCTACCATGCATAACCAGCAATGTTATGCACAACATCATAACCTCAGAACACGCCGTGATATCTAAAGCACGACGACTTGCTCCTGACGAACTGAGCTAGAAAGGAGTTCGACCACATGCTCACCCTTGGCATCATTTGACCATCGAATAGCCCATGAGCATCCCCACCACATATGGTACCGAAAAAGGATAGCAACGAGTGAACGCCAAAACAACCCCTGATTGCTATCCATTGCCTCACACACACGACTTGACAGCAACATTATTTGGCGCAACTATATTCTCTAAAATCGACTTGGTTAGAGCGTATAACCAAATCCCGATGGCACCAGAAGACATTCCGAAAACGGCTATCACTACGCCTTTCGGACTTTTTGAGTTTCTACGTATGCCATTCAGTCTCCGGAATGCAACACAAACATTCCAACGCTTCGTCGGTGAAGTATTTCGCGGTCTCGACTTTGTATACGCATACTTAGACGACTGCCTCATTGACAGTCCAGACAAGGAAAATCACCTTAGACACTTGGACTTGGCATTTGAAAGATTACATGGTGTTACCATCAATATATAAAAGTGGCAAATAGGCGTTTACTCACCCAACTTTCTCGGCCACACCATTGACTGCAAAGGCATTCGCCCACTGGCTAGTGAAGTTGAGGCGATACTGAACTTTCCAGAGCCACAAACAGTTGAAAGTCTTCCCAATTTTAACGGTTTGGTAAGTTATTATCGATGGTTTATTCCCAACTGTGCTTCTCTGATTCAGCCATTAAAAGACCTTATCGAGGCAATAACAAGTTCATCTAACTCGACGCGTCTGCTCAAAATGCTTTCACTCAGATTAAAAAGCTATTGTGGGTGCCACACTTCCAATGTATCAGGAGCCAACGGCACTGTTAAGTATCTCGGATGATGCATCAAACACTGCAGTTGGCGCGGTTCTGCAACAACTAGTTAACAGAGAGTGGCAACCACTCACCTTTTTCTCGAGGCGCCTCCAATTGGCAGAAAAGAAGTACAGCACATTCAGCAGAGGACTTCTGGCTGTGTAATGTGCTATACGCCATTTTCGACATTCAGTGGAGGGTCGTGAATTCATAATTTTCACTGGCCACAAACCTCTGACGTACTCTCTGGAATCAACTTCAGATAAGTATTCAGCTGGAGAATCACAACTTGATTACGTTTCACAGTTTGCATCGGATATTCGCCATGTATCCGGAGTGGACAACACTGTGACAGATGCCTTGTCACGTATTTGTTCCCTCACCCAAATAGATGGCATCGACCTTGTGAAACTGGCTCGTCTTCAAAAAGAAAGTAGCGAGCTTCAACGTGAGTTATCGAAAAGAACTCTACAATTTGCCGAGAAACCCTTAGATATAGGAAAAGATACTATTCGATGTGATATTTCCATTGGTACTCCTCACCCTATCGTGCCTAAAAGTTATCGCCGTAACGTCTTCAATACGTTGCATGGCTTATCCCACCAAGGTATTCAAACTACCACCAAGCTCGTAACTAGTCGGTTTCGTTGGCCTGGTATTAACAAGGAAGTAATGGAATGGGCACACACGTCCTTAGCTTGCCAAAAGTGCAAGGTAGTGAGACACACCAAAAGCCTTCTTGGTATCTTTTTTCTCCCTGAAGCCCGTTTCGAATACACTAATATAGATTTGGTTGTAATCCTTCCAGAATCTCATGGATATACCCATATTTTAACTTGTATCAACCATTTCACACGATGGCGTGAAGCAGTACCCCTCAAGGATGTATCTGCTGAAACAGTCGCACGCATCTTTGTCGAACGATGGATCGCAAAGTTTGGATACCCATCCTCCATAACAACCGATCGTGGGCGGCAATTCTAAAGCGGCTTATTCTTCGCCCTGACTAAAATCATAGGTTTCATGAGTTTTAAAACAACAGCCTACCATCTTCATACTAATAGGATGGTAGAACTTCTACACAGACAGTTGAAAGCTGGATTTTCAGTTGCAAACAATGCACATTGGACTGAATCACTTCCGTTAGTTCTCCAGGGATACGAGACGCCTTGAAAACTGATGCTGGTTGTACTACCGCTGAGCTAGTATATGGCACAACACTACGACTACCAGGTGAGTTTGTTTCTCCCTCGAGCTTCTCACCAGCGGTAGACCACGCCTCATACGTCACCAGGCTGGCAAACGCAATGCCTTCAGTTGAACCTGCTCCCCTTCGACCACAGTCCATAGACGTGTTTGTTCACCCGTGTTCGAAAACTTCTTCACATATATTTGTTCATCGTGACTCTGTGCGTCGACCTCTGAAACCCACATACGACGGACCATATAAAGTCATTAAACGTATGGATAAATTCTTTGTCATAGACAAAAAAGGCTGCGAAGACACCGTCAGCATCAACCTTCTGAAACCGGCTTACTTAGAAGGAAATCCTATTAGCCTAAAGCTGAGCGTTCCCAATAATCTACAAGTAATCGAATATCCTTTAGTCCTCGAAGAACTTACTAGCACGGCGAAAGCCATTGAACCTTCTGTCGAGCCCTCAAAGAAAACGCGTTCTGGACGAAAAGTGAGATTCCCAGAATATCTCCAAACTTATATCACATAATCAAGTGGTGGGATTCAACCAACTCTTTTTCGTTTGTGGTATTTATCATATGTATTTTTCCTTCAGACAAATCAATTTTTTACTGCATCCCGCAACACCAGTTAAGAACTTTTCTTTAACTTTACAG